CAGTATTTTATGAATATGCTGTCAAAAAACATTGCTGTGAAACTATCAATAAGTTAATTTCTTTACCATTAAGAATAAGATCTTCAGTGTTCTGATAAAGTTACATATGGTTTTATATTAAACTACAGGTGTATGATATTTCCAACTATCAGATATAATGCTACTTATCTTCTGTTGAATCTTTTATATAGTTATATTAGTTTGCCAACATACAATGAAAATAATTTTTTAAATACGTTTCAAATATACGCAAAACTTGTCTAGTAAACTATTAGCTTTACAAGACATTCTGAAATGAAACTACATATTGTTCTCTCATAGCGTAGAAAAGAATTCTGACTCTGTTATTTATGCTTCTAAGAATTCCGCGTGTCTCCCTATACCTATTCTACAAATGAATAACTTTCTTACCTTTCCGTGACAGGCATATCAAACAACCAAAGCCCATTACGAACGACCAAATTTAAAACATGTAAATAGCAAGAAAGCTTCATTCCAAATCCCGATCTTGTTGCTGCATTTATGTCGGGGCCATTGTCACTTGTTATTGAACATATTTTTGCTTGAATATCAAGTTTTTCCACCTCATTGATTAAGAAATTTTTAATACGATCACTAGAATGTGTTCCAATAAAACGTCTAAATGCAATAATATTGGATTGATATTTAAAATCTTTATCATAATAATGTGCTGATAAACAAACAAAATGGTCTCGCCGATTACTTTGCCATGTATCAACAGATAAAGCTATATCTGAAATTGTTGAGAATTCTTCTCGAATAGATGATCTTCGTTGTTTATATTTGGTTTTTAAACGTTTAACAACTGTTCGTCGATCAGGTCCTCGATAACCTGCAACCGCTTCTGATAAAAAGCGTTTCATCCCTCCTTTTCTAAAAATATTAAATGCATGACCATCTTGAACAATGGCATCTATTGCTACAGCATCCAGCTTCTTTTTTCGTTGAGGAGATATAGTTTCTTCTTTTATTGGTCGTCGACTTCGTTGAGAAGGATAAAGAAATTGGTACAACTTATGAAGCCGTCCTAAATGGCTTCGAAGATTTGTATCAGATATCGAGTTTGAAGGTGGAAATACCTAAAGTAAATAAACATGTATGTGTCATGGCATATTGAGATGAGTAAGGAATTCCTGAGCTGCATGTATATGATAGAGATTTGTGAATTATTTGTATATGATCAACAATCTTGAGCTATGTAATACATGTGACAAGTATATATGAAAACACTTAGCTCTGTTTCGAAAAAGTATGCATTTTCTCCTCTAGCTCTCTGAATAAAGAATCATCACAGTATGATTGCCTCCTATAACTGACATATTATTTTAGAAGAGAAATTGTATCAACATAAACTACACCTGCATTTTATCGTGGAATATCATTAGATAGCAATTGTCATACTATATATATCTATAGATTTTGTTTTACAGATTTTTATGTTATCAAAAAAAGTATTGATGTCTTTCTTTTGTTTGAAATCATAATAAACAATTTATTCTTTTCGATCAATTATTTTCTTAAGTAAAATTATTTCTATTGATTACTGTTTAAAAATTACAAAAGTGAATAAACTTGATGATAATTTAACGGTAGATTGATCTGAATGATTTTATATTCAAATTTATTCAAGAAGAAATGTTACATATCAGCTTGTACGCGCGTGACGCGATGACGTTTTGGCCCACTTCTTTTTACTTTTCTTCAGAATGATATCAACTAAAATACTTTCTTTTTTCCAGAAACGTATATCTCTATTACCTTCATATCTCCTAAAAATATCAGCTCACAGGAGTGAATCGTTTGGGAGTAATTGGAAAAATGAAGGCCGAAACGCGATGACGAAAAAGGACCAAAAAGTTGAGGGTGACGTGATTGTTCTTTATTTTTCTGCGAATGTGTACTAAATGTAAGGAAATGTTCTATGCACGTTTTGTAGCCAACAGTTTTAGGTATGCAATGAAGAAAAAATATTATTCGAATCGACTTATTATTTTGAAAACAGATCGGTTGGATTAACGTAACGCGATGATGGCCTCGTAACGCGATGATGATGACTTTTGTAGTCCTTTTTCTATGCTTCATTTTTTAATATAAACAACTCTGTAAAGGCAAGATATTATTTTTATTCTATCGCTTAGAGTATACACAAGTGAAATATTGTGTTTTTTGATTTTTCTAATGCAAAAAAATTGTGAAAAAGACAAACTAGTTAGACTAATATGTATAGTAATATGCGTAAGTCGAAAAAACTCAAAATTTCAGTTCACATTTTTTCTCGATGATTTACATATGGTTAGATAGAGCTCAAAAAACTACGTAAGAAAATGTACTTTGAATATTTTTTCCTCTTGTATAAAAATCAAAAAGCTCAAAATACTGAGATCGTTCTGTTACTGAAACCATTTTGTATAGAATGATCTAAGTATTTTGAGGTTTTTCATAAATATACAAAAAGGAAAAAAATTCACAGTACATTTTCTTACGCAGTTTTTTGAGCTCTATCTAACCATATATAAATCATCAAGCAAAAATGTTAACTGAAATTTTAAGTTTTCTCAACCGACCGTATAGATCATAGAAACGGTAGCGGATTTAGATTAGTAACTTAATTTTAATTGAACACAATATACTTATCAGACCAATCAGCTTTATTCTTATGGCAATTAGTCAGTAATCAATGAAAAGAACGATTACACATATCTTATAGTGATTTTAGCTAATAAATCATCGTTTGAATACGTTTTTTGAAATATACGGAAAAACGTAGAAAACAGTAAAAATCGTCATCGTGTTACGTAAAATTATTTCAAAACGCAATCTTTTTCAGACAAAAATGCATGTATCAAATAGCCCATGAAAAACTAGCTTTAGTTATCTATTGTTTGTAAAAAAAAAGTTGAGATCAACAGGTGAAAAAAAAACAATATTCATTTTTCGTTACGCGATGACGTTATAAATAGCGTGGTTTTGATTGGGTTCGATATCCAAAAGTATAGCACATAAAAAATTTGCTATTATAGGAAAAGATACATCTATTAGCGTAGTCTTAATTAGTCTTAATCAACTTCGTATATATCAGGCCGTTTGGGTATTCGTGTCAGATGAACTCATGGGCCAAATAGAGAAAATTTCTGTGTCTATTAGTAATCTCTCTGTCGTCAATTATGAAATCTGATTTAAAGCACCTACTCACTAAACAAAATATGTTTTTATACACTTTCGACTATGCTCTACAAGATGGTGACAACGGTTTCTCAAAGTATTTATTTCGAACTCTTACCACTGAAGTAACACGTTACGCGTACAAGCTGATATATAAAGTTTGTGTGAGTAAATATGTCAATAATTGTGTAAATGTTTTTAATATTTACAATTATTCAATAAAATGGCATAATTTCAGCATTATAATGTATGAAACAATTTTGTTTTATTATAACAAAAGATATTAAAAGGAGAAAACTATATAAAATAATCTATACACAATGCAAAAAAAACATATTTACTTTTGATCCATTCGGACATAAACTACACATAAATTCACCAGAGTTTAGCTTAATGAAATATTGAAGCACATCTTCTTTTGATTGAGTTGTTGTTCTTTTCACGTTCTTTTGCTGTTCCACCTGATCATTGTCATGAGTATCATCGCTGGCAAAAGAACGATTAAATGCAGCACTTGTTTCTTCTTTTTCTTCACTATCATTATCTTCTTCTCGTTCTTTTTCTTCTTCTTCAGCATCAAATTCATGTTGATCAGAATTATTCGAATCATATTGTTCTTCTATAGCTTGACGATGATCTTCATTAATATCATCATCATCTGTACTTTCCAATCGGTAAACAATTGTTGTTGATCTTTTCGATTTCGACTTGGAGCTTGCATGACTACCGGACTTGTTAGTTTTTTTCTTGGATTGTTTTGTTGATTTGATAACGTGTTTGGTGCTTTTGCGTTTATTTTTTCCAGGTTGAGTCTTTGAAGACGAATTATTTGCATTCATAGATGTTGATTTCTTCTGAATATTTCGACGAAATATTGGACGTGATGTAGATTCTGATGGTAGCTCTTCTTCATCCATGTTGTAGTTGTGTTTGTTTCATAAAAATTAAGTTTAATATTCAAGTTGATTGTAATTATGTTAAATTAAAATATGGACTAGTTTCGATACAAGAAAGTTGTTAATGAATCAACCTACATACCCCTATAGTATGATTAACTATTGTTTAGCATCTATAGCCAAGAAACCAGTGCGGAATAATCATAATATTTAAGCTATCACTTTTAAATCGAAAAAAAAAGATGCTTATTACCTTCCATTTTTATTTCTAAGTCAAGAAGTACAAAAGGCTTTTTGCTACGTAAATGTAAATTATTACAAAGATCATTATTTAGTACGTGTATCTATTATTTATACAATCAGATCCTCGATCCTAGACTAACTATATTCTCATCGATGATATGCTATTTGTGCATTCTCTTGCAACTTATCATGGTTTTAGAAGAAGCTACATCTATGAAACAATATAATTTCATATACTTGCACTTCCCTTCTCATGTTACCATCCATTTCAAATTGATTATAGAATAATAAAGTAAAAATACATTCAAACACTAAATTTTATAAGAATATTGGTTAGTTATTCAACGATTTTATGAATACAAATTC